AAAAAGTCGTTTTATCAACAGATTTTCTTATCGGTACGTTTGGACATGATCTGCAAATATATGATATTTCTATACATTTGATTTATATTTTCACAAATGTGTCACATTTGTTTTGACTCTTAATATGCTTTTGATTCAAGATGTATTGTTATTTTGATGTTAAATATTGTATAATTCATATTCACGCAACTGTAGCGAAGCTCACAGTTTTTGTAGTCGAGTAACTTAACGTTAGTTCCTATATACACTGTAACGTTACTTAGAATTAAAAACGTGTAACATTTTATGGTTCATGTTGTTAGACAGGCATCAGATAGATAGCTGCTACATTTGCTGTGAGCAAACAATGAGAGAGAGCCCGAGGAGACCCATCATCCTGAAGAGGAGGAAGCTGCCATTTCAGAAGAGTGAATCTGATGTAGGGTGTGATGAGGCAGATGGGCCGCGCTCCCAGACCACCCAGACCCCGACCCCATCCACCGCCCGCTGCTTCCCCGATGGCATCCGCGTCATGGACCACCCCACCATGCCGGACACACAGGTGGTGGTGATACCGAAAGCAGCCGATCTGCAGAGTGTCATCAGCGCCCTGACAGCCAAAGGGAAGGAGTGCGGGCCTCAGGGCCGAAACAAGTTCATCCTGCTCAGTGGCAGCACCAGTTTAGAGGAGAGCAAAACCCTTGGGTGTTTTTCTACAGAACCCGGGGCTGATCTTGGGAAAGGTGAGGGACATGACTAAGAGCATGTTTGCAAGTTATTGATGTTGTGAGGAATGTAAGATGACTGTTTTTGTTTACCCATGACAATAGTGAAAAAGGAGACTGAGTGCTACCCGCTTGATGATAGTCTGACGAACATCCAGTGGCTGGGAAAAATGAGCTCGGATGGACTCGGACCGGAGTCGAACCAAAAATGCCCTAGCAAGGACAATCCAAGTGACTGTAATCAGGTACACAACATTAAAGATGGCATGAAATGAAAATCTGTTGTCTATTGCAAATGTTCTATTTTTAAAAAATGTGTCGCGTTTTATAAACAAGTATTATGAAAACGATTTAAAGGGTTAGTTTACCCCAAAATGAAAATTTTGTCATCATTTAGTCACCTCATGTTCTTTCAAACCCGTGAGACTCTTGTTTATCTTCTACGAAACACTAATGAAGATCTTTTGAATGAACAGATTTAATTTAGGCTTTATTAACATATGGAAGTTGAACCACAAGAATGAACCTCATTGGTCCTTGCACGTTCTCGTATGCTTGTGCTTCTGTTTACCACAACTGATGTGAGTTGATGGATGTTTATATATGCATAAATGCCTAAATTCAGTCTGTTCATCATCAAAGCGGTAGTTCAATGAAGGGCAGAAAGCTCTCAGATTTCATCAAAAAGACCTTCATTTGTGTTCCGAAGATGAACGAAAGTCTTACTGGTTTAGAACAAAATAAGGGTGAGTAATTAATGACAGAATTAAAACTTTTGGGTGAACTATCCCTTTAAATGTTTACAATATGTGTTAGAAGTAGTTGTTTTTAAAAAAAAAGGACTATTCTAACTCTATTTTGGCTTTGTTTGAAGCATCATGACATTAGTGTCGTGTATTGAACGAATTGTTATAGACTTAATGATAGAATAACATTTTATAAAATTGTTTGTTTCTTTCCTCTTTATTCAGATTCCCAAATGTCCAGAGAAGGAGAAGGACCCTCAGTCCGAGCGACCCCCGTATTCCTACATGGCAATGATCCAGTTTGCTATCAACAGCAAGAATAACAGACACATGACCCTGAAGGAAATTTACAATTGGATCGAAGACCATTTTCCGTATTTCAGAAATATGGCCAAACCCGGATGGAAGGTAGCGTTTAAAGTTAATTCACTTTCAGTTTACACAAATTTCTAATAAATAATGTCTGAAAGTGATTTATTTTTTTAATTTTTATTATTATTATTAGAATTCCATACGTCACAACCTCTCACTGCATGACATGTTTGTCCGTGAAACGTCTCCTGATGGCAAGATCTCCTATTGGACGATTCGACCGGAAGTAAACCGCTGTCTCACTTTGGACCAGGTTTACAAGGTGTGTATTAATATAGATCACACTCTCGTTTTATTATATCCCAGTCACTTACAGCTGCTGCTTTGTCCATATTGGATTTTATCCTTTCAAATGTGGTCATCTCTCATTTCCTGGCTCATCCCACAGCCTTTGGTTGACCCAGTGACCCCCACTTGCCCTCAGACCACACAAGTTGGTTACCATCAAGTAAGATCCCCTTTTGTACTCTAAGTCATCCTCTCACAGGCAGATCGACAGGGACCAGCCTTTCAACTTCTACAGGAATCAGTTATTTTATTTCAGGGAGATTCAGACAGACAGAAGGAAGCATGTTCAGCTCGAAATCATCGCTTGTTTTGTTTCTTTTATCAACTAACATTGCTTAGAAAGACAGACAGCCTTTACGCCGTAGCTAATTTGAACGTCACACTTTCAACAAATGTAAACAAATCCTCTTTGTTCCCGTAGCAACAGAAGAGAGGTCCTCCGGAGGTGAAGAAGGCGATACCCATCGCCGGTAGCACAGGTGAGTGTTGGGCTGGATGAGAGAGATGAATGTCTGAGAGCATATGTTTCTTGACTGTCCTTTATTTCCGCTCACCCTCAGAGAGAAAGATGAAGCCTCTTCTGCCTCGGACTGACTCGTACCTGGTTCCTATCCAGCTTCCTCTGGGTCAGTCACTCTTCCTGCCCTCCTCCAGTCCTGTGTCTCTCGCCACTCCTCCACACACTCAAATCGCTTCCATTCCCAGCTCCAGCAGTGCAAGCAAGAGGGTCCGGATTGCTCCGAAGGTGTGTGTGTGTGTGTGAGAGAGAGAGAGAGATTGAAACAAAGAAATTTCTAGTAAATTACACAAAGAAATGGCAAGGAACACATTTAATTAAATTTGAATTATATATTTAGAGTATTATGGTAATTAATTAATTAATGGTCAATTCATTGGAAATCAATACATTCAACCCTGCTTGATGGTGGTTGGTTTACATGCTATCTGGCTGGTCATACATGGTCATTAACTGATAGAAGCTAGTCTAAAGCCCAAAGAATACTTTAGCAGTCCACGTGATGTGATTTTCTTCATCGGGAGGGTCCACGGAAGTCCACTCAAACCATTTGTCTGCTGCCCGATTTTGTCCGTGCAGTCAGTATCGCCACTCCCTGTACACACGAGTATGCGTGATCGCAAAAGTTAAAAGTGAGCGCACATTCAAAAGCGATTTCAATACCTCACATATTAATAGCAGCTACCTGATATTAATAGCAGCCCCCCACCCCCTACCTAGGCCTTAAATGGTTGATGGTAGTTAAGAATTAAACTTTATGCAACTTTTTATTTCAACTTTTTTCTTTAACAACATTAATTTCATGTTTAACGCATGTGTGTCATGTAAGGTCTCGCAGAGTGAGGTGAGCTCGGTGATGCTGTGTAATCCCGCCTCTCGGGAGATAAAGGAGGAGCCTGTGTGTGTGTCTCTGACTCCTGTGGTGTCCGAACCTCCGCCCCCCAAAACCAGCCAGCGAGAGAACAGCAGCTCCCGCCGCAAACAACGCCTGGTCCGGCCAGCCAACGAGGAACCCGTCCTGCTCTACCCCGACAGCACTCTCTTTGACTCGGGCGTAGTCTCCGACGTCTCCGCCTTCCAAGACACTCAGGAGGCGGAGCCTGATCCGGAGCCCCTGCCCACCTGTAAACCCGACTTTGACAGCCCAAACAGAGAATACACTTTTAAAACGCCCATTAAGGGCAGCCACCCTTCCTCATCTACTCCCAGCAAGCCACCCACAGTGCTGGAGCCCTGGAGGATCACTCCTGTCGGGAAGGGAGGTGTGCTGGACTTTAGCCCCATTCGAACGCCCAGCGGGCCACAGCTCACCCCACAGCGGCACGAACACACACCTTTCAGTTTCAACAGCACACCGTTTAAGGAGCTGCCGCTTTTCAACTCCCCTCGAGAGCTGCTCACCTGTGCCCGACCCTCCCCGAGACGCTCCACCCCGGCCTGCTCCAGAGAGCTGCTGCAGGTGGGCATCGCCAACCGCTCTCTCACCGAAGGGCTCGTCCTGGACACCATGAACGACAGCTTGAGTAAAATTCTAGTGGATATCAGCTTCTCCGGCCTGGAGGATGATGATCTCGGCATGGCAAACATCAGCTGGTCCCAGTTTATCCCTGAGCTGAAGTGACTCCTGACTTCCTTTATCTGAGCTGCTTTACTTCCTTCACTGCCTTTGACTCTTATTTACTTGCTTTTGATCTCTTCTATTTTTATAAGTGTTTTCTGAATTTCTCTGCTAACAAATGTTGCTATTTCACTGCCTATTACTGTATGTCTTTGTGTTTTGGATATGTAGGCCTTTATTTGCTTTATTCCTGAGCAAAACTGTTAGTGACGAATGTACTTAGAGATAATTATTTTGCACAAGTTGTAATATATAAATGTGAGTGTGTGTGAGACAGAGAGAGACAGAGTGTGTGTATTATAAGTAAGTGGACAAACAGATATAACAGATTCATTCATTTTACACTACCCAACTTATTTCTCTGTTTTGGAATAATTTTGAACACCTTGGTTTAGCCAGATAGATTGATGATGAAAATGACACACAAAAAGAGATTTTTAAGAGAATTTGGCATATAAAATAAAACCGTATGCAAAACCTTTTATACGTTCTCTTAGAGTGGCGGGTTCTTAGTTAATTGCAGATGGTCATGTAAGTGTTGCACTTTTTTACTGTTGAAGAATTTAGATGGAGTATCGAGCTGTTTATAACATCCTATAATGTGTTTTCATGGTTACAAGCATGTCGTAATAGTGACTCATCTCTGCTGCTGCTGCTTTTCTGCATTCATGTATCTTTGCTATTAAGAACAATTTAAGACACTTGTGTTCTGGATGTTGGATATGACCAAGATGAGCGTTCTAAGAGATTTTTGGTGCATTCCAAAGCTTTTAATGTTCATTTCCATGTATAGAGAGTGATTAGTAAGCATGCAGAGTTCTTATGCTTAGAAGACTACCAATGTTGCTGTTAATTCATGTCACATTATATTGTATTCTTCCAATGTAAAAACAGCAACAACAAAAATGCAAGATGTCATAAAAAATATAAAAACTGCACGGTTGACAGATTGATGGTGTTAAAATGTCAGAACACATTATCATTAGAAGTTAAATACAAAATCCTAAAAATATAAAAGTACATTCAAGCACAGACATTTGAAAATCTGTCACTGTCATTACCAAGTGCCTTGATACTTGGCTTTTGTAAGATTTCAAAACTATTTATTAATCAACTTTCATTTCTCAACAGTCAACCTTTTGGTAACATGAAAAGATGTCCCAATTACACCCTCTGCCATTGAAAAAAAAAAAACGGATGATATTCACACCCTCTGCCATTGAAAAAAAACGGAGGATCAATAGGATGTGTTTTGTGATTCTTGTGAAGATCGTATTGAAGTTGTCTACCTGGCATTTCTCTGAGCTATGAAAACATGCTATGACCAGAAGCTACAATCGTCATTTCCAACAAAGTATACAATTTGGTTTCTCTTCCTATTGTATTTATTTCTTCAGATTATAGGGAGACTTAAAAAAAATGGAAATTAGAAATCAATCAATCAAGGGCACTTTTAATTCCTGTCTTTGATTTAAATAAAAACTAGAATTTTACTCAAGAAAATGTGAGTGTTGATTGGCAGAATTGATAGGGTGCCAGGATGTTGTTGTGCAGTCGCTACACTCAATGCAAAAAATAAAAGGTTATTTATTGGCATAAATGGTTATAGGCCTAGTAGTAAAAAGATTCTTCTGATTATTAAAATATTCAACCTAAGAAAATAATGGTTGTTTTAAAGGGTTAACGTTAGTTCACCCAAAACGTTTTAACCCCTTAAGATCTTATCACTGTAAGGTTCTTTGGGGAACAAATGGTTCTTCTGTGGCATCACTGTCAAAACCCCTTATTGAAACCTTTGTCTTTAAGTGTGTAGGGTGGTTAGGGGTTTGTTCAAATGAGCAATAGTTATAGCAAGCAAGCACCACAAAAATGTAAAACTTTGACGCCAATCCCAACACTCAGCACATGAATTTAGCTGAGTTTGGTGATGCTCCATCAGTAGGTCTGAACTTCCTGCTGAGCCACTTCCAGAAGAATCTGCATTTGTTGACTCAAATAATCTGCACACAATGAAGTTTAGGTCAGCGATTGGAGCCTTGACTGATTGCAGGAATAATTTTACTGAAGAATCACTAAATGAATGTTAAGCTTATGGATTCAATACATAAAGTTGCTTTGCAGTACTTACTGAAAGATTTTTTCCAGCGTTCAGGTATGTATGACTTCTTGACTGTCAGGTAATACACAGGTATTCCTGAGATGGTGAGGGCACAGCTACCCCCCGTGTTCCAAGGGTCCGAATACAAGGACAGGCCCACAATGAAGAAACACACTATGGTAAAGACCACCGCAACTGCTAGAGGGACCTGACACAGTCACACCAATGTTTAAAAAATTCAGTGACAAATTCCTATATTTCAATTAATAAGCCATCTAAATGGACCTTGAACGGTCTGGGATGTTCTGGAAATCTGTAGCGGTGGATGATCATTCCCAAGGTCGCCATGGCAATGAAGAGCCAACGGGAGAATGACGCAAAGTTGATCAGTTGAAAGATCTCACCTCTTGCCAACATGATGATGACCAGAGGATACTGCAAACATCAGGAGGAACATGAGCGGACATGACAATCATGGAGGAACCACATATGGCTAGGAATGATGCATGTAATCTGGATTACATAATCCGATTTTTTGAAAAAAGGTCTGCTTGTAATTAGATTAGATTGCATTTTTAAATACTTGTAATCAGATTACAGTAACTTTTATTTATTACATATCACAATGACAGTAATTATTCCAAATTAATTTATCCTCCCTAATTCTTATTTTCCTTTTATTTACCAACATCTTATAAACCTACACAATTCCACTTGTGAGTAAAAAGATTTTAAATTAATATTCCAACACAAGTTCATGGTTCTCTGATGTTGGTTAATGGTCACATGACATGCAGGTAAACACATACATTTTTAATATTTTGTTGTATTTAAATTATTGTGAAGTAGTTACTTCACAAACCCCAATTTGTAAAGTTTAATGCACTTCATGTTCTTGCAAACAAAAAACGGGATATATTTTCTTTATCTCTGTATTTTATGTCAATAGTATAAATTAATCATGTTCAAATCTATGTGTACAGTGTGTTAGGTCAACAGTGATCAAAAAGTAGTGTAATCTAATAGATTATTTTACTAACCACAACTGTCATCATGTAATTTGTATTCTGTAATGGACTATTTGTAAGTAATCAACACTCTTAAAAAAGGTTCTTTATTGGCATTGATGGATAAAGAACCTTTAATATCCTTTGAATCTTTAATTTCACAAAACACTCTTTTAGTGGAAAACTTTCTTTAAAGTTCTTTGCACAAAAAAATATTTGGGGAAACAAAAAGGGTTCTTCTATGGCATAGCTGTGAAAGCCTTTGAGAACATTTATTTTTGAAAGTGCACACTGGATGTGACTGTACCAGAAAAAGCACGGCTGGCAGCGGTGTTTGTCTGCGAATATGGATCATGGAGAATATCAGTGGAAAGTGACCCTCTCTGGCTCCCACGAACAACATCCTGCAGGAACAGAGTAACAAAATCTTCACTTTTAACCGGTCAAAGTCAAAAACCAAAGCTATTAAACATAAATTTAGATGCACAAATTCTTTTGCCTTTACATTTCTGAGATCCTTACCTGGGTGAACCAAAAAAGCCTCCATTAAGAGCTCCAAGGCAGGAAAGAGCAACTAATATGGGTATAGCTGGAGCTATACCCTGCAGAGCCCGACCTGCAAACGTCTGCAATGCATATAGGACAGCACAATCAAGACATTTACTCTCCAAACTAGATCCTGTAATAGGCTACTCATCTCCAAAGTCTACTAACCACAGCCACGGCATCTGATATCAGTAACTCATCTGCGGTCATCATTGTATAGTAAGCCACATTGACCAGAACGTAACACACGGTAACTGTAACCATGGAGAAAATGATGGCCAATGGAATGGTTCTAACAAGAATATATGAGAAAGGAATCTTAGGTGTCTTTATATATTTATAAAAAACACTCTGTCAAGGTTTCAATTTGGCAAGAAGTTCTGTATACCTGTTGGGGTTAATTACCTCTTCGGTTATGAAATTTAAATAAAACCTGTAAGAAAAAACAAACTTTACATAATTTTTTTTAATCCTTTCCTTTAAGACATTTAGCACTGATGATACCCACCATCCGCCGTATGCATAAAGACCTGAATAAAAGGCCAAAGGAAGTTTGGTCAGAGATAATGAATCAGAGTCAAAGGCATTCTGGAAATTTTCAGTTTTCCCTGAAACAGAAAAAAAGAAAAATAAGAAGTCAGTTTCCTTACTCTTTTCTCATAATGCAATTAATAATCAAAATGGGGTTATTAACTGAAGCTAAAACCATTTTTTATTGTTACTTGAAATAAAATAAACATTACCTGAAAATGACATATATAGCTACTTAGCCCCTTTCCCATATCTCACACACTTTTGAATTTTCCTAATAAACACGAATATGCATGCCTATTAAAAATTTATTTTTTTAACAAGCTTTATGCAGTTAAATTAATAGATTTTGTTTGAAAACATTCCAAAGTAATCCTGAATACGGTAATGCATATATTGCAGTAGATACAGCATGCAATTCTTACCATTGGCCAGAGCCATGATCCCCGGGATGATGATCAGAATCAGAGCAAACATCTTGATGAAGGTCAACGAGATCTGCGTACGAGCTGCCAAAGACACACTCCAGCAGTTCACTGCCACCACAAACGCTATAGATAGAATAGATTACAGTTTTACATCACAGTTTTAGTTTGTTGTACAAACGTTAAGTATTCACTGCTGATCGTAAAGCACTCACTGACTCCAAGAATGCTGACGAGTTTGACCAGAGCTGTCGGAGCAGCACACGGCAAGAAAAACGGCTCCACTACATAACGGCCAAAAGCCAGGGACACATAGGAAGCCACTGCAGGTCTGAAAAGACATTTGGACATTTAAAAATTCGCTGAACACAATAAAAACCCAAACACTCTTCGCACACACACCTGATGAATATGAACTCAGTCCACAGTCGCAGGAATGCAGGCAGGGGCCCCAGAGTCTCCAACAGGTAGGTGTAATGGCCCCCTGATTTAGTAAAGGTTGTGCCCAGCTCAGCATAGCACAGAGCACCTGAAGAGAACATGCAATATTTCAGAACTGGTTACAATAGGCTAAAAGTGAAAATAGTACACACAACCGGTCAAAATCTTTGAATTATAAAGATTTTTTAAATATTTTGCTGCATTTTATTTGATGAAAAATACAGTAAAAAAAGGAGGAATATGATGAAATATTTTTACAATTTAAAACAACTCTTAAACAAATGATGTCATGAAGACTGATGATGATATGTTATAAATTGTTATTTTTTTTTTTTTACAATATTACTGTTTTTACTGTATTCTAACTGATCAAATAAATGTAGCCTTGACGAGCAGAAGAGCATTGTTGGTGGTATAGGCCAAAATGTTGTTACGCCATTATGATTTCAAGTTTCTTGGGACTATTATTTCTGCATTGTTGAAATGGGATGATAACTTAAAAAGCCCATGCTAGGCTCTTTTTCTAAAGACAGTCTAAGTGTGGTGACAGTGTGGCGAATCTATAGTTGTCTATTTTTATAGTGCAGTGATAGATAGCATCAACTTTCTCAATCACAGTGTGGTTTGGCAACTCCACAGCTCAGCAGACAAGTCAGATTAGTGGCACTTTTGGTGTTTGTGCTCTGGAGAACGCCAAATGTTTTTGTAAATAGAAACCCATGTGTTTCTGCAGCGGTGAGCAATAGCCAATAACAGACATGTTTGTTGATCTCTTGAATGCAATGACCAATCAGAGGTGTTTAGTCAGAATCCACCCACCGCTCAAAACACCAGTGTTTGGTCAGTGCTGAGCTCTGCAAACTCACACACAACTCATTAACAGTGTTAGTGAGATTCATTGTGCAGTGTAGTGAACGTGCTGTTTTTATTGTTGATGCAATAAAATGTAAAAACACAAAACCTTTGATCTGTATAAGCACCAAAGATGTTCCTCACCAAAAGTGGAGAGGATGCCACACAGAGCCCAGACCAGCAGGGACAATCCCACACTGCCCGAATTCATCAATACGCCTTTGGGGGCGATGAAGATGCCGCTGCCCACCACAGTGCCAATGATGAAGGAAATGGATGGCAGCAGCCCTATCCTCCTCCTGAGATGAACTGCATCATCTTTCATGTTTTTTTTGCTACCTTCTTCGGACATATCATCAGTCGCGGGCGCTCTTTTAGAGACCCCCATCTCTCAGATCTTCACAAAGAGTACACAAATAATTTGCACAAATATCAAAAGTGACGCTTTAACAAACAACAAGGGTTACATTTTATTTCATTGGTCCACTTTAGACATTCTACTAACTAACTATAAGCCACTTTACAAGAATGTCAAATAACTATAGAATAGTAAACTGTTGGGGTTATAATAAGTTGGTGGAATTGCAAAGTTACTTATTCAGTTGTGGCAACCATTAAAATAAAGTCTTAGCAGATATTAAGCAGGCAGTCTACTAATACTAATACCAATGTCTCTTGTTTTCAAAGTGATACAAATCTGCCAAAGACATTTATCAAATAAAATCGTCATTTAAGTAAAATGTGAGATCTATCAATATTTTTTCTACTCACCAGTCAGCTAGTAAGACCAGTATACCTTTCTCATTTGCGCTACGCCACTTGTTTTTGCACCTCCTTCCATGCAGAGTAACCCTGGAAACTGACCATCCAGCTCAGGCAAGAAACAAAGCCAGCAGTCTTCCCCAGATTCATCAACACAAGTAATTAAAGCCTTTTAGACAGGAAAGCCATGTGCCATTGTGCTCTGTATGTAGTGTGTGAGTGTGCACAGCGGGACGCAGGAATCTGCCATGAGGACCTCCTCTTGTTGAAGCAGCTGCAAAAACTTCTTGTCAACATTGACATAAAAAACAAACAAAAAATGATTACAGGGAATGCACATATTATCCGAGAGCTGATTTTGTTAAGTCTACCAAGCAGATTACTGAAAGTCCTTTCAGAGCATGCTATGGAGTGTTAGTTTGTGTGTGTGAGGGGTCAGTCGTCACTGAGGGGGAGCTTAACAGTAAACTGTTATTTGGTCAGGGGCCGCAAACTTTCTCTCTCCTGGTTCTGGCTGTCTGCTTCATTTCGTCAGAAGCTGAAATGGAAACACATCTGTAAAAAAATAAAAAATAAAAGTTTTACAACATCTGCATAAACATGTTTTCTGAATGTGTTTACACAGCTGATAATGAAAAAAAGAAAAAAAAAAAAAAAAAAAACATCTGGGGCTCCACCACTATAAGCCATAGAAAATGTTCTTAAAGTTAAGTTATATTGAGATATAATGTAAACAGCATAATGTATACAGTCAGTATATATATATATATATATATATACTGTATATATATATATATATATATATATATACTGACTGTATACATTATATATATATATATATATATATATAATGAAACATGATTATATTTACATAATAAATATTTTACATAATGTTAAAAATGATATGATGTAATTTAATAATAAGATTTATTTCAATTTTAATATATGTATATGTTATAGTAAAACTCAGTATTTCAGGAATAACAACGAACATTCTCAGTTAGCACAGGCTAACATCATAGGTTAAAATCATAGTTAAAATATGCAAAAATTACCCTGTGTACGTCATTGGAGGGGGCGTGGCGAATAACGTCACTGCAGCCACGTAATCAGGGAAGTAGGAAGCGCTGATCAGAGCTCACGCCCTTCAGCCGCAGAAACAGCAGAGTGAGTGTAAACTTCAGCAACTGTTATGATATTAAACTCATTTATTGGTAAACAACAGAACTCTTATTATTAGTTAGAGTGTCTTGTTTTTGTTTGCAAGCCCCGGATAATATATTGCAAAAGTGTGATTAGAAGATTCATTCATTCATTTTTTTAGATTTTAACAACTGTAATGTTATTATGTTTACATCTATTTATATCTGTAAGTGTGCATGTTTTATTGTTCAGTTGTTCATTTATTATTCTGGGATATATTACTTGGAACAGACAAATTACTCTATTTATCTACGGATTGATTGATTGGAAGATTATTGTTTTGATTATTGCAGTTTTGTCACTTTAAATCGCAAACTGCTTTGGATTTTTAACGTTTTTCAATGAAGCACATGTTATGGGGTTACAGCGCATTAAAAGTTACTTTTTCATGTGAATAATGAAGTGCATTTCTTTAAATTAACAATAGTAGTTAGCCTATTCTTTCAAATAAATGACTTTAAATAAACATCACATTTGTGTTTCATTTCTTTTATTTCTGAAGTAAGAGTGTTGAACTTTCTTCTTCTGCTTCTTATTGTTAAATTAAGTTGTTTTTGTCTTTATTTTCAGAGATGGCTCAGTTTGAGGAGGTATCTCAAAAGTCCAAGCTGCATCCGAAGCCAGAAGGGCTTACATTGCAATATGGCACAGCTGGATTCCGCACTCACGCCAAACATCTGGACCACATCATGTTCCGCATGGGGCTATTGGCAACTCTGAGGTCTAAAAAGACTAAATCCACTATAGGAGTCATGGTGACTGCCTCCCATAACCCAGAGGTAAGACATGCACACATGTGTCCACATTTACCCTCATATCAATAGAACAGTGGTGCATTTTCACTTTCCGAGGATGTTGCTGCAATGTTATCACCTTTTCCAGGAAGACAATGGGGTGAAGCTAATTGACCCTATGGGGGAGATGGTGACAGCGGTGTGGGAGGAATACGCCACACAGCTAGCTAACGCCGAGCAGGACTCTCTCCTTAAAGCACTGAGAGATGTTATTGAGAAAGAAGACATCAGCATGAGTGAACCAGCGAGTGTCTACATCGGCAAAGACACCAGGTAAGCCTGGCTTCTGTTTACAAAGCAGGTGGGTTAACAACTGTCACAATTGAAAGCTTAAGTACAAGAGAAGTTACCAAACCTGTAGACTTTTTAGTGGCCAAGCCAGTAGATCAAGTCAAAAACTTGAGATGTTTCACAGTCTGAAAATTTGACTCAATATTGTAGCTGAAATTAATCATGCTTACTGTCGTTATCCTTATCAGGATTTATTTTGGTTCTCATACATGTTTAGCTATACTTTATCAACTGAAAAAGGTATAACATGAAGCCTTAGCTTATTATATCAGTCTACTAATACTGTAATGTAGGTCTGTCAAACGATTAATCGCATCCAAAATAAAAGTTTGTGTTTACATAATATATGTGGGTGCACTGTGCATAATTATTTTGTATATATATATATATAAATACACACACATACATGTATATTTAAGAAAAAAATATTATTTATATATAAAATATTTATTTTTATATAAAATTTAAATGATATATAAATATATATACAGTATATACATGAAAATATTTGTTAAATATATACAAGCATGTGTATGTATTTATATATATATATATATATAATTATACACAGTGCACCCATATATATTATGTAAACACAAACTTTTATTTTGGATGCGATTAATCGTTTGACAGTCCTATGACTGGAAGTTGACATGTAGTTGCAAAGTTACTTATAATTAGTAGAATGTCTAAAGTGGACTATCAAAGTTTCCTTTCATTTTTTTATTGTTTGTTTTATTTAGACCAAGCAGTGGCAGTCTCTCTCAGGCTGTGTTGGATGGCGTTTCCAGTTTGGGAGGCAAAACTCATGGTGTGTTCACAAAGTTCCTAATATTACAAAAATGAAAGTAGTCTAACATGAATAACATGTAGGTGTACAGTTGGGAGATATGACGGTACAAAGGTTGATGCATTGCTCTGTTGGTTATTCTGTGTTGATCATGGGTGTGTGTTTCTTTTAAAAGACTATGGCCTGGTCACCACTCCCCAGCTGCATTATATGGTGTGCTGTTGCAACACAAATGGCTGCTATGGCAGTCCCACTGTTGAGGGCTACTACCAGAAACTCTCACAGGCTTTCCTGCAGCTCACCCAGAACGTAAGGGCGACATACAAGGTTCTGCATGATCTCCAAACACTATAGTGCCCTTATTACACTACGCTCCTTTTATTTTGTAGGTCTCCTACAATAATTTTGCATGCATCCAAGGTCACTTTCATTTTCTCATAATAAACATTGCAGCCTCACCTCTTTTCTCACAGTGTCTCTCTAGACCACTCCTTTCTAAATCCCAGCCTGTTGTGATTGGTCTACTGCTTTATCAGAAACAAAATGCCTATTACCAAATCTGAATTTCACTTGATGCACAGTGATGCATATAGTAATGATGGCTCCGTCTTTACTAAATCATTTTAGGCCTGGGTCATCATCCATTGGATTTCCAGGCAAAACAAACCAAACTGCAACTGCAGTGTTTTAGGGCTGGTCAAAGTAGTTTTTTGTTCGCCAGTGGCCAGTGAAGACCATAGATTGGCAGTATGCAAATTACAAACCTAAATAGGTTAAATATGAGACTTTGGAGTATACTTTGATCTGTGAAACTTTGCAAACCTTTTTTACATTCACAATCAACTATATTTCATACTACATGAAAGGTAAAATCCAAAAAAGCATAATTGGGGCACTTTAATAATCCTGCTTATTTCTAGCATTAAGTGTTTTTCTACTTGTATTCCAAAGGCCCCAAATCGCACTGATGATCAGAAGAAGCTTCTGGTGGATGGAGCCAATGGCATTGGTGCATTGAAGATGAGAGAAATGGAGATGTTTCTACGCTCCGAACTGCAGGTCATGCTTTCAAATGATGGCAGCAGTGGGAAACTCAACCACTTGTGTGGAGCAGATTACGTCAAAGTCCAGCAGAAAGCTCCTCAAGGTCTGTCAGAACTCTTTGAAGGATGAAAACACATGGTTCCTTGAACGTCCCATGAGGAAAAACCCTTTCATATGAGATGAAAAGATGATTAAAAATTTGTGTTTGTTTAATAATAATAATGAAAGAAACCTTGATAACACTTAAATCTGTTCATACCAAATAATCAGAGAAATCTCACTTTTCTCTCTCCAGGTGTGAGTATGACAGCAGGTGAACGCGGCTGCTCGTTCGATGGTGATGCCGATCGCATTGTTTACTATTACACTGACTCTAAGGGCCGCTTCCATCTCCTGGACGGAGACAAGATCGCTACTCTAATCAGCACATTTCTCAAAGAGCTGCTCACACAGGTTCTACACACGGTCTAGAATGGAATTAGCCACTTTTAAATGTAAATTTGGACATTAATTTTGTCTATGTGTGTGTGTTCAGGCTGGGTTGAATTTACAGATTGCTGTTGTTCAGACAGCATATGCTAATGGCAGCTCAACTCGCTACTTGGAGGACGTCATGAAGGTGATGTTCTTAGAAATATGTCCTGTTACTATTGTACTCTCCAATTTCTTGCTACTCAGTGATGTTAAGGTGACCTTCGACCTTTCAACAGGTCACAGTATGCTGTACGAAAACGGGAGTGAAGCACCTACATCATGCGGCACAGGAATATGATATTGGGGTGTATTTTGAGGCTAATGGACATGGAACTGTGAGTTCATTGCAAAATAATGCAATTTTCACTATTTAAATTAGCAGGTCAGAGTTCAGCAAACGTCATCAATTCTACACTTGTGGTTATGTGACCGGCCCATTCAAACTGACTTTTGAAGCTTTTCAGTTTAGAGTCTTTAAAGGGATACTCCACTTTTTTTTGGAAATAGGCTCATTTTAAACAGTTGCGTTTTACCATTTTCGAATCCATTCAGCCGATTTTCTGATATTTAGATGAATAACAGTAACCAAACAGGTCCCATTGACTTCCATAGTAGGAAAAATATATATACTATGGAAGTCAATGCGTTTGGTTAGTAGTGTGTTAACTTGTGGTTTTACTAGTGGTTTTTGCTGATATGTTTCAGGTTTTGTTCAGCAAAGCTGCACAGAAACAGATTTTGGAGCTTGTGAAAGACCCGAACACCAACGACGAGAAAAAACGTGCAGTAAAAATTCTGGAGAACACAGTTAATCTGATTAACCA